TACAGAGGTATCTGTGTGTATACTGTATTGTACAGAGGTATCTGTGTGTATACTGTATTGTACAGAGGTATCTGTGTGTATACTGTATTGTACAGAGGTATTTGTGTGTATTAACATTATGCGCAGTTCTATAGACTTGTGATATAATGCTAAAATCGGGTTTCAATGCCCGATGTGGACAAACTCACCTTGTGTACTCCTTTATTTAAGTTTCTGTTATGTTTTTAAGAGTGTTTAAAGTACTCATTTTAACAGCTCACTGTTAAAAACAAGTAATTATGGGCTTGATACTTACTGAGGTACCTGTAAATGGGGTTGTAAGTGTAACAGTACGTTTTTTCAATAGTAATTTCTAGGAATAAAATTTACTGTTTCTCCAAATGTTTAAACATTACTACAGATATTATTATGAGCACTTCGTTTTTATACAAAAGGGTTAATAATGAAATATTTACTTCTATTGAACAGCTAACCCTGATTTCGGACTGGAGGACCCACGATGGATTGGGGCTTGGTGGTTAGGATTTGTAGTTTTAGGATGTACGTCAGGTGTTTTGTCACTTCCGATTTTACTATTCCCTCGTCATCTGAAGGATATAGAAGTTAAGCCTAACAGAAGAACAAATGATGGGCCAAAGAAAGTGTTCTTGAAAGGTAACGAAATAAAACAAAATAAGAGCCACAAAATTATTCTGAAGACAAATTCTGGAAGATGTAAAAACAGACATAAACCTTTTTTATTATTTTTATGTACATGATGCTGAAATTTTGTGACACGTGTTTTAATGGAAAAGAGATTAGCAATACCTTCTTTTTTATTCCAGTGACGTATCAATCTGTGTACGCTGGACAAATCTTGGTAAACACTAACCCCCTCTTTCGGATTCGTTTCAAACGCAGAGAGAAATAAGTGAGAACATCTTCTACAAATGTACTTTAAATATATTATCAACTCCTATCGATAATGTTACGTATCTACTTGTTTGTTAATTTCCCGTAGAAATTATTTCCGATAAACTTCAGCGACACAAGTCCTTTCTTAATTAAAACTAGTTTATTCTTTCTCGATACGCACTTTG